ATATGGCTCGGAGCCGGCATCAATGGCGTTTGTGTTGTGATTTCCTTTGTCCATCCCCCTCCTGTTTAGCATCCCCCTCCAATCACGATCTCTCTTGATAGGCATAATACGAGTTTCTTTTACGGCAGCCAGCTGTTAGCTCTCCGGAACGATGTCCATCCGTTACTGGGGACTCAGCCGGCGTGCCACTGTTTGTTTTCCTTTTCTTTTATATTGTATTGCGGCACAATAGCTGAGGTGTTTTCCACCTCCAGCTAACATGTAATGATGATGATGATGTCAGTGAGGTCATTTGTGAGGTGGATGAGTCTCCGATCATCAACCAGCAGAGGCGTATGGACCGCTGGGCAGAGCACTTCTACTCGCAGTTCAACTGGCCTCCACCGTCCATGAGCACATGCAGTACACCTTGTTGTCCACCCTGGCTCGTCCCACTGAATCCACCCAGCGAAGCGGAAGTCTGCCTCGAAAGTCGACGCTTGAAGCGCTTCAAGACTGCCGGCTTAGACGGACTTCTTCCGGAACTATTCTAGCACACCGTTGAGTCCTCCAACTTTTAGGTGTTCAGTCAGGTTTGTATGGCCCTAGCTGGACCACCGAAACTCATGTAAACGATCACACACAGCATTGCACAATCGGTTTCAACGCACGCTGACAAAAATGATCTGCAATCGCGTACGCGCTGCGCCACCTGCGACTTATGACTATGAGATCAATTTGTAACCACCGCTACGTTGACGATGGAGGACGCCAGGTGCCATGGTGGCGTCCAGGCTGATGAAGGCTCGTACTGGAAAGACAAAGTTAGTGGTCAGCACGTAGACAGCATCCTTTCGGTTGTCAGAGCGGATATCATCATACTCATGCATTCACATGGTAGCATCCGACAGATACGTGCATTTAAGTCTCGTGCTATAATGGTGATGTGTTTTAGTCGCCCTTAGTAGCGTCTCATGTAGATGTTGACAGAATTGGTACCTGATTGTATCCGAGCTGCAATCAGTGGGCTCGTGAGTAGATATCACGAAAGGAGCACGCTTGTCTGCTCGATGTCTGCTAACCTTGCAAAAGCCACGAAGCCTCAGCACAAAGCCGACTGTTAATTGGAATCCTGTCAAGGAGAGCAGCCTCAGCTCTGACACTGAAGGCGATCTCAACACCAGCTTGACCTTAAGCGGCAGACTCAGCGTCACCAGATAGGCGAAGATAGAAGTGGATATGTGGTTGAACTTGTGACGACAACTGAAAGACTGTGTTGGAATTACGAACTTGTGTTTAATTCAGGCAGCAGACATCGACTGCAATGGTGCCCAGCGTGCGTGCAACTCCAGCTTGTTGCCTGATCTGCGAGAATGTGCGCACGTTGTGGGTTGCTAGTTTGAACTGCATTCCAGGTTGCAGTAGTGAAGACGGCAGACTTCGTGGCTGGCAGCTCCCTGTCGAGGACTATGTGGTTCCGTTGACGCTCAGCGAGGGACGAACTTCATCGTCGGAGGTAGGGTTATTCACCGCTGAAGAACCAAGTAACTTTGGGGGTGAGTGATACAAGGGAAAGGTAGCTAAATTAGTGTGTGTTTGTAAAGCTGGCGCAGTGGCATGGCAGTGGATCATCATGATAGCGGAAGAGAGTAAACGTAGTTCCATGGTTCATCAGTAGGCGAGATACTACCCGGTTGCGTAGGCCGAAATAGGTGGATTATGTTAGGGGACCACGGCCCAGAACCTTTGACCAAAGGGTATAACCTACAAGACAACAGGGTGATATAAGAATTCCAAACCCCTTGGGAGCCGGTGACTGAACATTCCGTTCGTATGCCTTTCGGATGGTGAAATGCCACACCAGGGGCCCAACACTCCCTAAGTCAAAGGTAGAATCCGATGATATAATTGCTTCCCGATGTAGCATGTCTCTGAGGATGACAAGGGACAGTAACTTTATTTAGTGACGATTCACATCCGCCCCTTCGCATTGTTAAGCCGGCACTTGTGGCTTTTTATAGGGCAAACGTTTGCCAACGGTAAACCCACCACGTCCTGGAACACTGCCGCCAGACCATTCATCGGAACGGGAACTACCCGAACCGCTCAGTTGGTACCACGTGGAGGTTGTTCGGCCAGCTAGCCACTTGGGCTCAGGTGATCCAACAAGCGGTAGTGTTGCCGCAACCCTACTGAACTGGTTTTCAAAATGTCCCACCCAACATTCTAGTCGGCGCGTCTGGGAATGGACCAACTCTACATCTTTCTCCTTTTTTTCTAACTTGTTTTTTTATCCGTGTTCCAAATGAGCTGAAACAGCTCTCACTGGTTCCCAGTTGCACTGGCTCTCTCCATCTTACAGGATCTTACCATCCTCCAGCGTTTCCAGTCAATCCTGTGACTAGTTGTCAGTCTATGTTTCAGCGAATTGCGGATGCGCTGAAACGGAGTACCCAGTGTGAAACCTGTCTGGGTACATCGTCTAAACTGGTCGATGCTTCGAATGTCCATACAAAGTTTCAGTCTCAAGTTGGGAGTACAGCAGGCTTCAAAGGCATTTCTCGTGACACACTTGAGACCATTCCTGTCGACATTCAACTCCTTAACCTCAATCACTACTGACAATTGGTCTGTCATATTGTTGAACTGCAGACTGCGAGTTCAAGTTGTTAGTGCAAAGGGTAGAAGCTGGGCGTTTCTTTGAAGCAGGAGGAGTGCGCACCAGGCGTGTGCGCACTACACCATAGCCGGAATCCAGGCACGTGTTCCAAATCGGCTGATAACCTTGGACTGATGTGCGCCATCTATAGGTGATGGTTATGTGGTCACATTGAGTTTGGGTCATCAAAACATCCTCTAAGCGCTAAGTGTCATGACGCGAACGTTTGTGTTGGAGAGCAGTATTACTAATATATTGTGATCCACAGGAGTCAATCGCTATTGTCTGTTCGGCGTGCGTTGACCCCGAAACGACCTCCCAGCTGTTCGCCGGAGTCTTATAGGCGGTCCTCTTGGGCATTCATGTCACCAGCACCAGTCACATCAGTATTCTCCGCCATACAAATGAAGGATAAGAGATGACGATGGAAATCTATTTTCATCTTTTCCAGGCTTCAGTCAGTTGGGGCACAAATAGAAGCGATGAAGTGTCAGCTTATCTTTAAGCGATGCTTATTAACTGCAATAGCGGTGGAAATTCGTACCGAATACGTGGCTTGTCACTGTTATCCAGTCTAGTAGTTTGATGAAGAGGACTCCGTTAACCATTGACTAGCTATCCCATTGGACACGAGGGGTGTGGTCCTTGTGAACGAATGCAAAGCCAGTGAGTCAAAGATTTTCTGCGACCCTGTGATCTTTTATGTATATGAAATGATACCGTTGTATTCAGAAGTATTTTATTCACTTGTCGCATCAGTTGCGAATTTAGCTGCTTAACGATATGGTTTTCCATCCAAATGAGAACCCTACTCGTTCTGGATACTGTTAAGTATCCTGCCCACGCAGTATAATGACAACATCAATGGGTTCCTTGGTGCTCTAGCTATTGCAGAGCGCAGTCAATGCCCGTGGCGACGATGTAGGTGTACAGGTACCTATCAACAGTCAATGTCCGATGTTCTGAATGCGTCTCAATGCATGCCGTCATCCGAGCTAAGTGCTCATATTATCCGACGCGCGTGTTCGTGCAGCTTGTTTACCTATTTTTCATAGAGTGCGAAAGGCCAGGGAAACTGGACAGCGTGTAGGTATAAGGGGCTGTTACCGATAGGTGTCCAGTAGTTGGTGGAGACAGCTGCAGATAGTAGAACAGCAGTGACATTGCGGTTGCTATCAATTAAACTTGGAATTATAGAAGTAAGGCTATTTATTGGACTTGGGAAGGGAGTAAGAGAAACTGCTGTATTCATCAGATAAAGCTGTACTTGTAAAGCTGCGTTACGACCGATGCAAGATGTGGTCTAAGTTAGAGGAAACATTCATGGTTGTACGTGGGCTGAGATACTGCTAGACCGCCGATGACTAGACAGGAGGGCGATTAAAGTCCACAACCAAAACTTTTGCCTCAAAATCTGTCCGAAAGGCAGTGGAGAAGTGGCAATGAGTTAGTTTTACAGAAATGGACAACATCCCTTTTTAACCCCCCCCCCCAAACATGAAAGACCAGGAGACTTAGTCCGTCCACTTCGAAGTTGACCTCGGTCGGAGCGTCTCGACTCCCTGGTTGGGGTCTGAAAGATGATGAACACGTTTGGCTGGATACACTTGTTGACATGGTTAGGAGCCGATCTCAGTGACGTTTGTGTTGTGAGTTTCTTTGTCCCTCCCTATCCCTCTTAACATCTCACTCTAACCACGATCTCATTTCTTAGCATAATATAATTTTACATAATTTTTTGTTGCACACTAGTCGGTCGGTATCTTTCCGGAACGATGCCCATCCGTTATTGGTAGCTCAGCTGGCGTGCATCTGTGGCATGCTTTTTTCCTTTATGTACTACGGCCCAGTAGCTGAGATGTTTTCCACCTCTAACTAACCTTTGTAACGATGATGATGTGTCTGTTTTCTAACCATTGACCATCCTGGGAGGATTAGCGCACCCAAGGGTTCCCGAGGCACCGCCCAGTATAGTACAGTGGGTCGAGTAGGTATGCAAACCGTCGCACCACGTTATGGTTCAGTCTCATTCCGACGGTACCACGAGAACATACCTGCTGCCAATAACGTGTGATCAGTACCCTTTAAGTGTGTTCACTGAGCGCTTAATTAGCTAGGATGCTTGCGTGCTTTGTTAGGTATTTGAAACTTACGGTTTCGCAACTTGGCCAGTGTCTGTGTGCTCACAGCGTCGTTGCGGATGTCCGCCGTTGCGCACCAAGTAATCGGAACATACAAGTGCATGGTCAGAGTTCACACTCGTTCTCCAAACCGAGCGGCAGTTTTGCATATAGCTTCTCCAGCGGTAATTGATCGCGGTATGGTCGATTTGCCTCCAAGGCTGGTGGGGGCCATGTCACTACGGAAGTTATTGCTCGCGAGAAAGAGATGAGCATCTACGCATTTATGTAACAACCTCTCACCATTTTCGTTGGATGTGCCTACGTCGTGTTGGCCGACTGATAAAGCTAACGGATGGACAGTTTTCCAACTTGGGCGTTAAGATCACCAGTCGTTACTACTCTGCACCTACTTCTGCTGTGACGAAGGATCTCTTTCCGCTGGTGGTAGAAGTCATCTTTCACCGAGTCACTTTCTGGAGCGTAGACAGCGATAACAAACAGGCACCTGTTACCCCTTACCCGATTTCGAAGCTTCGAACAAGCCAGGCAGTCTGACAGCGCACATCCGAATGTTGATTAGAAGCCAATCGACCGGTGCGGGTTCTTCGCTTTGCACTCGAAGCGGTTGCCGAATTAGCTTGACTAGCATTTGAAAGTGCTTTATCTCAGGATAAGCGCAATGTGAAAGTACCACCAACGTCACATGAAGAGAATCGCAAGATGAACACAGAGCTGAAAGCTTACAGGCGGCTTTTCGATACACAGCAATCATTGATCGATAGGATCTCTAGTGTTAGGATAATTGTTACCTGTTGACCGATTTGCAACAAAGTGGGCGTGTTGCGATACACCAATCTTAGCGCGAATCGAGGACTCCGAATGGAAACGCACGAACTAACGTCCGGTTTGTTGAACTTGCACTTGTTAACTGAACCAAACCGACGCCCTGCGATTGCGTGAATCGATACTAGAACATAAAGCGACCATAAAAACAAGCTGGGCGATGACCAAGAATTGGGGGAAAACCTTAACTTGAAACGGGACGATAGGGATGAAATATAATGTGGGCAGCCCTTAGCTGTCTACCTCAGCTCTCCGTCTTCGATCCCCAGATGTATTCACGAATGCAGCTGCTAATTGGAAATAGGTCAGGGATCTATCACAGCTTTCATGTACACTTACATCATCCAAACCGCGTTTGAACACGTTGGTTGTTTTATCGTCGGCACTTTCGTCCACGTCTAAAATGCGGACGCAGTAGGAACCATATTGCCTAGCTTCGTATTCCACTGTAGTTCCAATTCCTGTCATAATGCGGCTTTATGTTCATCTTTAGTTTTGTTGTTGTATTCGTTCGTCTTATATTGACCAAATTAATGCTAGAAGTCGTTACCTTGGATTTTAGCTACGTGTTGACACATTGGTTCGTTAGCATCCGCCTGATTTACCGAATATAACCAATAAACGTTCGGATATTTTTGAGTTTGGTTTTTTGTGACTCAATCGTTGTTCGTTTCTTCGACTTTTCCAGATCTTCAGAGTTTCCACTTTCTCGCGGGTCTGTCGGTGCTCATCCTGGTGACAAGCATGACTGGGACCAGCCGTTGCAAATTTGAGTCGCAGATCTATTTTAGTGAACTATATTACCCTTCCCCTACATTTTTCCTCAGACTTCCTCACAGTTCATTATAACTTCCCACATGTTAACTTCGCTCATCATTATTTGGGCTTCAATTGGACTTCAATTATCTTTTCACATTCGCGATGTTATGGTGTCACATGGTCTCGTGTTTTATTTATCTGGCTCAACTTCTCAGACTCATGTTCCCGCTCCTGCCATTGTTTGTCGGTCGATGGATTTAAGGATTATACTCCTACTTTGTACTCCGGCGGTCCGGTTTGAGTCCGCTTAAGTGCGGCTGCTTTTACGAGATACCAATTCCACACGCGACAGGGAGTGGTCGCCTGGCAGCCGAGCTTCGGAATCATACGCTGGCACACTGATGACGTCTTATGCACCTTGGCAGTTTACCAAGCAACGTACCATCGATTGCTGCTACCAGACATTTCCATACAGCTCAGGTTTGTCAGTTTAACCATGAGACCGGCCGGATCTATTCGGTTAAGTTTTCTCGAATTCTCCCGACCGCTTTCGAAGCATGCGGCATTTGGTTTTTTTAACTTAGGAATTACACGTAAGACAGCCTCACGCTCAACTCCCAGCCGTATAATCATCCGGGTTCGCTAAAACTTCTGTAGGGGGATCTGAGCACTGATGTCTGAATTTGCTTAGTAAGGGAACAGCGTGTCTTTCTTACTTGTAAGATGATGTGCAGTCTGACCATGTGGATCGAAACGAGATGGCAAGAGGTGGTAACATTCGAAGCACGCCACTTGTTTTGCACTCTATTTTGTAGCCGAAATAATTTTAGACACACAATCTTCGGCTTTTCAGAATATCAGAAGATGCAGCGCATCATGTTGAGTGAAACCTTTTTGGAACTTTGGACAACTGTTGGGTTAACATGGAAGCATCTTCAACCGATGAACTCACTTGATCTGTCGGCCAGATGCAACATAGGTTAACTTGTTGCGAAGCAGAACCTACTGAGAACTGCTTTATAAGGGTTCGAAAGGAATCAGTTAGTATAGCGGTGATCAACTTTTGTTTTTGACACAATGGTTTTACTCAAGCCAAGTGGATCAATGGATGATTAATGTAACACCTATCGCAAGCCTGGTGGACAGTAACGACCACCTATATGATCGTAGGCCGAAGTGCCATTTCAAGTGGTTCACCACACGGAGTTCTTGTTAGTGATGCGAGTGGTATGATACTCGTCCAATGACACTTCTCACAGAACCACTCTGTTCGTTCTCTTCATGCAGCTGCTTGCTTTGATGATTTCCACCACGAATCCTGATGGTCTAGACGTGCTGCTGAGATGGAAGCTGCTGCATCGGTTGGAAACTGCCGCCATTTTTTTGCTTCTTCAAGGCCACCGGATGCCAATCGCACGCTGTCATTCGGACAATCTGTGAGTTAGACGGTAAAAGATCACCAACCTACAGAAGTGATTGGAGCGCTGGGCAGAGCACTTTGTTCATTAATACAACTACTCAGCTCAACCCTTTGTGACATCTCCATCGGATGTTGCTTGGCCTGTCCCCACTGACGCTCCTACCGAAGTAGAGATGCGAAGCGCAATCCGTTCTTTGAAACGGCATAAAGCCGGAGGACGTTACAGTTTACCTCCGGCTCTTTTAATGATGGCGGTGATATGCTTGTCAACTAATTTCTCTCGCTTTTCACGAAGGTTCGGGCAGATGACAAGATTCCCAACTCATGGGGAGACTCAATGGTTGTCCCGCTTTGCATGCATGGCCCCGGCGAAGGTTGCGCTAATTACCGCGGAATCTCGCTAATCTCAGTTACTTCCGAGATTTTTGTGTCTATCTTACATCGCTAGCCTTCCTCTATCAGAGTTCTTCCGAGAAGAACAAGTCGGTTTTCGCCCAGGCCGAAGTTGCATTGATCAAATCTTCACACTCTGACAAACTCACGAGCTCTGCCATGTTCACTGTCGACCAACAATGGTTGTGTTCTTGAACATCCGCACGGCATTCGATTCAGTAGACAGAGCTGCTTTTTGGAAATGTGTGTGCCCGGCACGTTTGTTGCTACCGTGAGGGAACTGTACAGTCACACGTCGGGAAAATTAGGGCTTACGGCCAACTTTTCTTTTTGTTTGTTGCCTCCAGCGGCGTTCGCCAAGGTTGCTCTACTTCACCTTTTCTCTTCAATTTTGCCATTGAAGATGTCATGCAACGAGCGCTAGAAGGTGTCCAGAACTGGGGTGTCGTGCTTCTTCTTGGTACCAGAATCGCGGACTTGGACTACACCGATGCCATCGCTTTGCTGGGTGCCGATGTGCAAACCGTCCAAAACATCTTGAACCGCTTAGGGATTGAGGCATCCAATCGCGGCTTGTATTTCACCCCAGCCAAATGCCAATTGCTCACTATTGCTGGTGACATTCTGGAACAAGTTTCCTGCCTCAATTATCTTTGGAATCGCATCATGCATGGTAGCGGTGTTAGAGATGAAGTTTCACAGCGCACTGCAAAAGCCCGCCTTGCTTTCATCAAACAGACACCTATGGCGTCGTCGTGACGTCAGTCTCAAGCTCAAGGGCAGGGTGTACAATGCTTCCGTCCGTACGGTCCTGCTGTACGGCTGTGAGACCTGGCCTGTTCGCTCGAGAGACATGAGATGACTGTGTTTTTGACAACTGTTGTCTACGAAGTATTGCTCGTGTGTGGTGGCAACATCACATAAGCAATATGTTCTTGAACGAGTGCTTCGTGCGAACAGTCCCGGCCCACAAAACGTTCTCCGACACCGCATGCGTTGGCTGGGCCACGTACTGCGGATGCCAGTCTATCGCAACTTCTCCAAAAGTTCTCGATATTACTCAACTCGCTTTCCTGCACTTTGACTCGTTTTTCGGCAACTGTTCCACACGCGCCTTCCATTCTGCTTCTCATGCGCATCCGTATGCGCATTTCATGCAACTTACTTTATAGACGCAATTACAATCTTGACGCCTGCGGGAAGCGAATCATGCAGTTGCACCAATATTGTACGGAGCTTTTGATTACTTCGGGGGATCACTTTGTTTTGTACCCTCTGGATGGCCTCCGAAGTCCGTACTCAATAAGAAATTCCTACTGTTCTAGATCACTCCGTGGTACGCTGTGATTGCGGGTTTAGAACCACTACCACAACTAAACGTGTCACTGTTGTGTACTTGATTCACTGGCTGCGTTCGAGCAGTCCTCCTCCTTTTTGCACAGCGGTTACCAAACAGAGATGAAGCGATCCTAGTATCCGCACTATTAGAGTGCCCGAAAGTGTGGTGGAATGCTCCATCTTTGTCCCTGTTTAAGCAGTATGCTTGCATTTGGGCCTCATCCTTGCCTATATAATAGGCGTTCGAAGAATAGCAAAGTACCACTGCAGGACTCCAATCCCACAGCGAAGTTTATGATCGCATGAAGAAGTTTCTGGCGGTTTAGGGTCTTTCATTCCGTTTCATGACCGCAAGGGTGTCATTCACTTAACGCCACCAAATTGTTGGTGAGCTGCTAAAGTTGACTAGCGCCCTCCTTGCAATTATTTTCCCCGTACTTTTTTCCTATGCGTGGGAATTCGGAGAACTCATAGCATGACTCTGTTTATGTGTGAATTGTCTGGATTAGAAAGTGAACTGGGCCATGTTTATGCACAGCGCCATTCTTTCTGTTATATGACGATCGTGGTAATGACAAGTAATGTTTCTTGTTAAAGTGAGAATTAATGCTTCATGATGACTTCAGATCATTACACAGAATTCAGGTCACAGCAGAGCATCAACAATTCGCCGGTACGCCTTACCGATGTCTAGCTGTTACATAACCACCACCAGTCGCTCGTGAACTAAGGATATTGCGAGGGTCGCTCGGTTCCCTATGCAGGCTCGAACCCGCGACCTACGGGTTGCAAGGCAGAAACCTTGTGCTTTCTGCTACGAACTGGAGCGCTGTATTGTTGACCATTTGTAAAGTCGCCATGATGATCCTTTGACCACCGATCCCTGTATTCGACCTTTATGGTTTTTGTCAAAGTATCAGTTCTCCTTGTCACCCACGTCAGGGACAGTAACGTATGGGGAACGAAAGTAGCAAAATTAGACAGGGTTTTCGTTGAGAATACCGGTTTAATGAGCCCACGAGAATACTGCTTACTAGTGATATGGAGCTAGAAGACACATCTGTGTTGCTCCATCGATATCAGATCGAGTACACGCGCAGATTAATGCCCTCCCAACCCGGTTCGGCCGTACGACGGCTTATTCAGATGCGATGTGCTTCCGAAATCTAATCCGCAAAGCGGGCGCATAGGAGTTACTTGAGTTCCATTGTCTTGGACAAGCTATTCCACTAATTCCCCACTCTACGCTTAAGGGTGAGTTTTCCGCCTTAAACCGGGTAATATGAGTTTGTACCTGTGCTGCTCAGTGCGGGTGCTTCAGCAAGGTCGCCGCTTCAGGGACTGGTGTTGGGCCAGCATAAGCGGAAAACGGAAATTCGTGACAGAATAACTCCCTGAAGAACAGTGTTTTTGGTCTAATCTGAGTAGCTCCTGCCGCCAAGTTCGATTACGACCGGCAAAATAATCCCTCAATAAAAGGCTATGGAAAGATGTATTCCGACACCGAGTAGATAGTTCAGCAGCAATTTACGCTTTTTGATGCCGAATGCGTTGCCATAGTCCAGAAAACCGATTCGGGTGAATTTGATTCCTCTATCCAGCGGTGACAGAATCGAGCAGACAGGGGAGGCTATTGCGTTTTGGACTGACCCCAAACTGCGGTATTCAAATCGGACCGAATAATATGACTGTTTTCGTCTCAGCATCTTCCCATGAGTGCTATTTTCGAACACCCTTAAGTCTACCGAAGTACAAGCAATTGGTGCATATTCGCTTGGTCCCTTTTTTGGTATTGGTGCAATACTGACGCTTCTCCAGCAGTCGATAATTTTATGTTGTTGAATGCACACTATATATAAGGTAGCTAGAGATTTGGTTAAGAAGTCAACACATTCCTTGAGGACAGCGAGACAGTGTCCGGACTGCCTGCTTTTCCTGTCTGTAACCGTTTCAGTAATTTGTGCACAGTGTCGCTGCCGACAGGGGCAATGAGTCTACAGACAGTTTGTGCTGGGCATGTGGTGAGTTAGGGATCGGATTGCTGTAATAGTTGCAGAAGTCGTGGTTCAGTTTTTCC